CAATCACAGCCCGTGCCCTCGATTGAGCCCGAGGGACAGGTGTTCGATGAACATGTGGTTGATGAAGAAGAAGAAGGTTTCCTCATCCCCTGAGCCTTCGCTGCCCCCGAGGAATCAGATGTGACGAAGTCCACGGTCGAAGAACTCGAGCATGCCATATTGATCGAGCATCTTCCAGAACGAAAGGTATACCTAGGAACTGGGTTAACCCCCGAACTCAGGAAAAAGCTCATTCAGTTTCTTATCAATAATATTAATTGCTTCACCTGGTGCCACTTAGATATGACAGGGATCCCACCGGAGATAACTACCCATCGACTAAGTGTCGATCCCAGGTTTAAACCGCTGAAGCAAAAGAGGAGACCTTATTCCGAGGTAAAGCATGCATTCATCAAAGAAGAGGTAACCAAACTTCTCAAAATAGGATTCATTAGGGAAGTAAAATATCCCGAATGGCTAGCAAACATAGTGGTAGTCCCTGAAAAGGGGAATAAACTCAGAATATGTGTAGACTACAAAGATTTGAAAGTATGCCCTAAAGACTCTTTCCCATTGCCCAACATCGATCGTTTGATCGATGCTACGACCGGCCACGAGATCCTTAACTTTCTCGATGCTTACTCCGGGTACAACCAAATTCAAATGAACCCGGAGGACCAGGAAAAGACTTCATTCATCACGAAGTATGGTGCGTATTGTTATAATGTAATGCCCTTCGGGCTAAAAAATGCAGGAGCCACATATCAACGCCTAGTTAATAAGATGTTCGAACATCAAATAGGCAAATCCATGAAAGTTTATATTGATGACATGCTAGTTAAGTCCCTGCGCGTAGAGGACCATTTGACCCATTTGCAGGTGACGTTCAATATCCTAAGAAAGTACAACATGAAGCTCAACCCCGAGAAATGCACTTTTGAAGTCGGCTCGGGCAAGTTCTTGGGCTTCATGGTGTCGAACAGGGGTATCGAGATCAACCCCGATAAAATCAAATTCATCGAGGAAATCACCATAGTCAACAATCTGAAAGCTGTGCAACGGCTGACCGGACGGATAGCTGCCCTAGGCTGATTTATCTCGAGGTCATCGGATCGGAGCCATCATTTCTTTTCTCTACTCAAGAAGAAGAACAACTTCGCATGGACTCCGGAGTGCCAACAAGCCTTGGAAGAATTAAAACGATATCTCTCGAGCCCACCCCTATTCCATACTCCGAAGAAGGATGAAATAATCTACTTGTATCTAGCCGTATCCGAGGTAGTAGTAAGTGGCGTGTTGGTTCGAGAAGAGCAAGATACGCAATTTCCTGTCTATTATGTGAATCGGACCCTAGGAGATGCTGAAACCAGGCACCCACATTTGGAAAATTTAGCTCTTGCATTAATAAGTGCATCTAGGAAATTAAAACCATATTTTCAATGCCATCCTATATGTGTGCTGACTGTGTACCCACTTTGTATGTCTTGCATAAACCTGAGTTATCGGGCATACTGGCCAAATGGGCCATTGAACTTGGAGGGTATGATATCGATTATCAGCCCCGAACAGCTATCAAGTCTCAAATTTTGGCAGACTTCGTGGCCGATTTCGCGCCTACCCTCATACCCGAAGTAGAAAAAGAACTCGTGCTAAAAACGGGTACGTCATAAGGGGTATGGACCCTCTTCACAAATGGTGCCTCGAACGTGAAGGGATCCGTGAAGGGATCCGGGCTCGGCATCATTTTGAAACCGCCCACGGGCAATGCCATTAGGCAATCTATCAAAACTTCTAAATTGACTAACAATGAGGCAGAGTATGAGGCCATGATTGCAGGTCTTGAGCTAGCCAAGGGCCTTGGAGCAGAGGTCATCGAGGCAAAATGTGACTCCCTTTTGGTAGTAAATCAAGTAAACGGGAGCTTCGAGGTTCGAGACGATCGAATGCAGAGGTATTTAGACAAACTTCAAGTGATATTGCACCGCTTCAAGGAATGGACACTGGACCATGTACCTCAAGAGCAGAATAGCGAGGCCGATGCACTTGCAAACTTGGGGTCATCGGTTGAAGAAGATGATATCGTCCCGGGGACTGTCGTCCAGCTATCAAAGTCGCTAGTCGAAGAAGGCCATGCAGAGATTAATTCAACAAGTTTAACATGGGATTGGAGGAATAAGTACATCGACTACTTGAAGCATGGGAAGCTCCCCATGGACCCAAAAGAGCCAACAACACTTTGAGCCAAAGTAGCTCGATTATCTCTCAATGAAAATGGAACGTTACACAGAAGAACCTTCGATGGACCACTACCAGTGTGCTTGGGACCCGGGGACACCGATTATGTATTACGAGAAATCCACGAGGGCACTTGTGGGAATCATTTTGGTGCAGACTCCCTGGTTTGCAAGGTGATCAGAGCGGGGTATTATTGGGATATCATGGAAAGGGATACCTAGGAATTCGCTCAAAAGTGTGATAAATGCCAAAGATTTGCACCGATGATCCATCAACCCGGTGAACAACTCCATTCGGTCCTATCCCCGTGGTCATTCATGAAATGGGGGATGGACATCATCGGCCCCCTACCAACGGCACCGGGTAAAGCTAGATTTAATTTGTTTATGACTGACTACTTCTCAAAATGGGTTGAAGCGCATGGCCTTCGAGAAGGTAAGAGAAAAAGAAGTCATCAACTTCATATGGGACAACATCATATGTCGGTTCGGGATACCCGCCGAAATAGCATGTGACAATGGGAAACAGTTCATCGGCAGCAAAGTGACAAAATTCCTTAAGGACCATAAAATCAAAAGGATCCTATTAGCACCTTACCACCCAAGTGCAAGTGGTCAGGCCGAGTCCACAAACAAAACCATCATTCGAAACTTGAAGAAAAGGTTAGATGATGAAAAGGGGAAATGGAGAGAAGTGTTACCCGAGGTGCTATGGGTGTATCGAACGACGTCAAAGTCAAGCACGGGGGAGACCCCGTTTTCTTTGGTATATGGGTCTGAAGTATTGATCCCAGTCAAAGTCGGGGAACCTAGCATCAGGTTTTAGCATGCCACCAAAGACTCAAATCACGAAGCTATGAACACTTTTCTCGAACTACTAGATGAAAAACGTGAGTCCGCATTTATTCGAATGGCCGCACAAAAACAAAGGATCGAAAGGTATTACAACAGAAGGACGAACCTTCGACATTTCAGAGTCGGGGACTTAGTCTTGAGGAAAGTCACTCTTAACACTCGAGACCCAAACGAAGGGAAACTAGGCCCCAATTGGGAAGGACCGTACCGTGTCCTCGGAGTCATAGGGAAAGGATCCTACAAACTTAGCACAATGGAAGGCGGGCAACTACCAAACAATTGGAATGTATCGTTACTCAAGCGATATTACTGCTGAGGTACGACCTTCTCCCCTTTTCCATTTATATTTAAAACTAACTCCTTGCAGATATTCGATTAGAGATATCGAGGCACCTTTCAGCTCGAAGACCTTGGGTTTTAAAGCATGCGTTGCACTCTTTTTCCCTTGGACCGGGTTTTATCCCAAGTGGGTTTTTCCGGCAAGGTTTTTAACGAAGCAACACCTATATGCTACCAAAGAAACATTCGACAAGTATTCAAGGCTTCTTTTCAATCAACCTCAAATACTGGGGGGCATCACCCTCGGAGATTATATTTTCTTTTAAGAAAGATACTTCACGCCTAAGAGGGCCTCGATAGGAGAACTTTTTAATGGGCCAATCAGTCAAATGAACCGTGTCCATATAGGATAGTTGAAGCCCCGACGGCAAAACATGTACGCATGTATCAACTATTTAAAGAAGCATTCTGGTTATATCAAAAACACTTTGTATCTCAAAGAAGTTTGCTATCATACGAGCTCTACACTTACAATCCTACGGGAAGCGGCTCAAGGGACAAAGCACCCCGAAATACTCAAGGACTGAAACTGACAGTCAATACATCCGAGTCATCGAAAGTTCGGACTCATAAGACCTCAAAGAGGCACCCTCTCAAAACACCTCTCGAATTAAAGACCAAGGCCAACATACTCAGGGACTAACTTTTCGAACAAGTTCGGAAAGTTATCGAGAAACAAGTCCAAGTGACAAACCCGAAGGCTACAGCCATACTAAAGACTACGGTCACATAAAGGCTACGGCCAAAATAATGCGATTCGGAGATGTCCGACTTTCGATATAAATTAAAGGCCTTCAAACATTGAAAAATCGGATAAGTCAAGCTACCCCCGGCAAAAGCAAAATGTAAAGGGCTTCGATAAATTCGGCCCCCGAAAAATCTGAGGGCTTCGATAAATTCAGCCCTCGAATAATCTAAAGGCTTCGATAACACCAGCCTTCGAAAAAACCTCAAGAGGTATTCAATTATGTCTACACAAACGAAATGACTAATAAGGTTCCGATACGTTGAGCCTCCGAAAAACCCAACGGGTACAAAAACACATGCTAAGGCATAACTAAAATTTCACTAAGTCTTTTAGCCGAAATAAGGGAAAATCCATTTTAGGGGCCGAAACGACCCAATTTAAAAGAGCCTAAGGGCCAACTCTGTAAGATACTAAGGGCCAATTTTAAAAGAGCCTAAGGGCCAATTTTATAAGAGTCTAAGGGCCGATATACAAGAGCCTAAGGGCCAGCTTAAAAGAGATATAGGGCCAAAAGCTTATGGGAGTCCGAGATTCCATTCTCATTCAACTCAGACCCAAAGGCCCTATTGTTCCGAGCGCGCATCAAATTGATTTTGAGCTTAGCTCGAGGATCATCTAAAACCTTAAGGGGTATGATGTTGAGCAATAAAAACCTAAGGGTTTATTACGAGTCTGAACCAATACTCGAACTAAGTATTTGAATCATCGGAATTTTCCACAAACATGGACAAAATAAAAGTCAACACAAATCAAGGATAGAGCAAAAAGATACTTTATATTCATAAGGGAAAATTACAAAACATATTTACAACGCCCATAAGGGGCCCTTGCACAAGAAAGAAAGCCTAATCTATTTTCGGGGTCACACCCCCGGGAGAGTCGTCTTCAGAAACTACGTCTCCAGCGGCTCTATCTTCGGGAGTCTCCTCTCCTTCAGGAACATCTTCTTCACCTTCCTCGTCCCCGGAGCTACTCACCACATCCTCGTCATCGGAGGAGACAAGAAACCTAGCATCGTTTTCCCGCACCTTTGCTTCGGCTATCTCCCCGGCGAGGTTGAACCCTCGGGCATGGAGTTCTTCGAGAGTCTCCCTCCGGGCTTGGCACTTAGCCAATTCATTGCTCCGTCTTCCACGGTCGGAGGCCTCCTTCAACTCAACTTGAACGGCCGCGGTTTCCCTCAAGTATATAGTAATGGATTTATCGGCCGCAACCTTCGTCTTCTTAGCTTCGGCTTTAGCCTGTACAACTTCATCCTTAGCCTGTGCAGCTTCGGTCCGGGCTTTAGCCAGCTCGGCCTCCAACCCCTCGATTTTCCCCTCCTGAGCCAGACCCTTCGCTTTAATGCCTCGGAGCTGAGCTTCAGCCGAGGCCAGTTGGGCCGTAAGGGCTTCCTTGTCAGCAGCAAGTTGATCCATGTTCTTCTTCCACTGATGACAATCAGCTCGAACTTGATCTACCTCGCCCCGGAGCTGCCCGATCATATCTAGCTTTTGCTGCAGCTGAGATATTGAAGTGTTAGCCTCCGAAGTAAGGCCGAGAAGGCCGCACTCTATTAAAATTGCGGTTACCTGTTTATCTAGCTCAGACTCACTTCTTTGAGCTTTGGCCAATGCGGTTCGGAGATCCTTAAGCTCCTCTTCCTTCTGGCTACAGATGAGCCTCAGGGCCTTCTCTTCACCCGAAACCTTCTTGAGCTCGTCCTCACATTGGCTCAGCTCAGCTCTAAACTTCACGATGGCCTGTAAGTGGAATGGAGAAGTCGTTGGCAAGTCCTTACCCGGGAAAGGAGACATTGAGCCTCTTCGAAAATGGAGGATGCATCATCAAAGTCGTTGGCATCCTCATTCCCAGTGTAGCAACCATGAAAAGGATCATCCTCGATGACCTTATTTGGGTCGGGCACACGCATAGCGTTGGCTTCTTCGATTGCCCCCTCAGAATAAGTTGGCAACGAAAGGGAGTGACCCGTTATCGCAGCCCCGAGCTCTTCACTCGGGGCATTCTCATTATCATTGGGGGTCTCAGCATTTACCCCCTCGGGTATAGTTGTTGAAGTCGGAGGGAAAATCTCGACCTCCGAGGATGCAGGGGCCTTGCCCGTTTCTTCCTTCGGGGCATCCTCACCACAGGACGAGGTTTCCGGTTCGAAAGGTTTGGCGACCTCGATCGGCTTCCTGTTCTGAGTCACCAGCGCCGACTCTTCATCATCATTTTCTTCATCATCCGGGGAGTCATGGGCCGAGTCTGCGCCCGTTTGAGCAAATCTTTTCCGCAGCCTTCGAGCGGGGCTTTTCTTGCTTGAGGGTCTTCGGGTTTCGAGACCCTTTTTCTTTTGTTGTCCTTCTCGGACTTCGAATTTGATGGCTTTGTTTTTTCCCCGGGCGGAGCCGGCCTCATCTCGGATGCATCGCCAAGGCCTGCACAGGCAAGCGTGAGTAAATATATGGAAAGTGTTGGAACTGTTGAAAGACACTTACCGTGGTTCTTGGCCTCCCACTAGCCCTTCGATAATTCACGCCACTTGCGCTCATCGTAGGAAGAAGTGGCTACTAACTTTCGGACCCAATCCTCGAGGTCGGGCACCGCTGGGGGTGCCCAAGCATTGGCTTCCAGAAAAAGGACAACAACGTTATGAAATATGGAAGCAGAATATGAATGGGTATAGGTAATATGAACTCCACTTGCGGTTAAAGTTCCACCTCTCCGGGAACGGCATTTTATCCTCGGGGATGACGTCCGAAGTTCTTACTCTAACAAACCGGCTCATCCAAACCTGATCTTTGGGTTCGTCAGTACTGGCAAAGAAGGACTTCGTCTTTCGGCATTGCAGCTTGATGAGCCCTCGAAATAACTGGGGCCGATACAATCGAACCAGGTGGCTGAGGGTCAATTCCAAACCCTTGGCCTTTTCAGAAAAATACCGCAACGTGATCACGATATGCCAAAAGGAAGGGTGAATCTGACCAAGGGTGACTTCGTATGTTTAGCAGAAGTCGATCACCACCGGATCGAGGGGACCCAGTGTGAAGGGGTAAGTGTAAACACTCAAAAACCCCTCCTTGTGGGTAGTAATGCTTTCATCGGGGCTCGGGATCTGAATCTCAACCTCATCTCCCCAGCAACATTCCCTCTTTACATCCTTGGTAAGCTGCTTCGTTATCAAGCTAATATATCGAGATACGCGCTCGCATTGGCCTACGGCATCGGGAGGATTCTCGATACTGAAGTCTTTCTTAATAATGCAATTACCGGGGGTGATTTCTTCAAGCGTTGGCGGCACCACCGGTTTGGCTGGCCGGGAGGCAGAAGAAGATGATGCTTTATCCTTTTTGGGGACTGTCTTGGAAGTTTCGGCCATGGTTGTAAGCTAAATAATACGGGTGCACAGGGATGTGGTGTTTCCGGCAAGAGCTTGGCGTTTTTCTGGCGCTTGAAGAGGCGGAGGAAATGAGTGATTGGGGAAGTAGAAGAAGATGGGAAAGGGATGAAGAAAGAGTGAAGTTCTTTACTTAGAGGAATCGCCTCATATTTATAGAAGGGCAACGACGCTTCGGCCGCATTAGTGGCCGACCAATACTGGTATGCATTCAATGTTTTTGGGGAAGTGGACTGACGGGACATTTCGATCACTTCGAACGCTTGCATCACGGGGATGACGTCATCACTAAGACTTCGGGAATCCAAATTGTTTCATATCATATCATTCTAAGAAACGCGGGGACTATCTGTATATGGTAGAAATTGGAGAGCTCGATTTCCAAGACTGGATTACACTCTGAGTCCGAGTTCTGGAAGCTCGATAAGAATCAAGCCAGGCCCAGACGAGCGCACCTCGAGAATAAATCGGGGACCCGTCATGATCTGCCTCGAGGGCAGTACAATTTCGAGAACACTCAAGAAAGAGCGGGAATTTCTCAAGGACACGTGGGTCGGGGCATAAATTATAGGATAAGATTTGTATGAAATAATACAAGCCCGTACTAGGTTGTTATACAGTTGTACCAATAGAATTCCTTATCATAATTGGAAATGTACCATATTAGGGTTTTTCCCTCCTATATAAAGGGAACCCAAATCATTTGTAAGGATCATCTCATTCACTGCAATAGAATTTTCTACTCTGCTTTTCTTGTTTACCGTGCTCAACAATTGTTCTTCAGCTTTATTGTTGTTACTTTATTGTTCATACATTATTGCTCTTAGCTCACCTCGAGGCCCCTGAGATAACCGAGCTGGAGGTCCTTATTGCTCTAACAATACTGGTTTGGTTCATCAATTCTTCTCACTTAAACTTAATATTACTTGTATATTCACTGGTATTAGAATAAATCACATATCTTTAAAACCACAAATTATCTTTAGCTGTTACTCACATTTTTCAAGGTAAACATAAACCTATGGTGACATGAAGAAAAGTTATCTTGAAATACAAGGTCTTGAAATATATATAACTTAGTGACGAGCAAAAAATTGAGATGAAAACAAAAATGTTTACATAATATGACACCAACTAGTTGTGTATATTATATACATACTTGTGTATATATATCTAACTTGTTTTCACAGCTATATTACATGTCAACATAATCTTAGAACAAATGATGAACAAAAAAATTCAAAAGAATTCAAAAGAATCCTCTCCTCCAAAAGGGTTTCTCAAACAGCGATAGTGAAGTATTTCAACCGCGATATTGTATTCTCAGAGCAGCCACAGCTTTTTCAAGTTTACACACTGATTCCTTGGGAAAATGTCCACCTTCAAAATCAGGAACAGCTCCTTGTAATTTTTCATGACTAAATAATCTTGTAGCAGTACACGTGTAATTATGTATAACACCCTAGATAAATATAGGCTTGTAGGGTGTGTTTGGTATGACCGAGAACATTTTTCAAGAAATATTTTTTAGTATTTCACTGTTTGGTTGTACAAAATAGTTAGAAAAATATTTTCCTAGATATCATATTTTCCTAAAATTGGAGGAAAATGACTTCGTAGAAAAAGTTAGGAAAATATTTTTCAAAAACTCCACTTACCCTCGCATTTAACCTCAACCCCCACCCGCTTCTCTCCCTACCCCAACTCTCCCACCCCCACTCTCCAAAAAAGGAATCTTTTTTTTTAAATTTTAATTTTTTTTTCCGTCACCGCCCACCCTTCAATCCCCCCCCCCCAAAAAAAATATATTTTTTAACCTTTTTTTGTATTTTCAAATTTGTGTTTTTTCGTTTTTTCTGCACCAACCACCCCCAACCCCACCCCACCCCACTGCCCCCCTCCCTCGCAATTTTTTTTTCACATTTTCTTTTTTGTAATTTCAAATTTTTTTTGTTTTTGTTTTTCTGCCACCCCACAATTTTTTTTTCTTTATATATTTTCAGTTTTAGTTTTTTCATCTTTCGTTTTACAGGTTCGAAATTTTACAAGTTCCAAAGTTATGATTTCAGAGGTTTATGTGTTTGAAAGTTTACGGGTATTTAGAAATTATAAGTTTACGGGTTCAAAAATTTACGATTTCGAAAGTTTAGCGGCTCGGAAGTTTATGAAATTTGTCGGTTCGGAAGGCTGCTGGTTCGAAAGTTTATGGCTTCATGTTTATTGTATCTAAAGTATTTATGGATATTTTTGAGAAGTTATTTTCCTTAATTTGCGTTCAAAAAAATGAGTAAGATTACTACTTATTTCTAAAAAAATATTTTCTTGAAAAACAATTTACACAGAAAATATTTTCCCTTATAACACACCCGTAATATCTGCAAATATGCAATTAATATTTCGGCTGTCATGTTTGCCTATAAAGTCCTACATATTTTGAACGTGCTGGCTAAGTGGCAACTATGAGTATCATTGCATTATCATAATAAATTTACATTATCATATTACTTAATAGCTAACTATTCATAAAAATTTAAATTAGTAACTTCAATATAAGATAAGTTACTGGGTACAACATATTAAATATATTAATAATATAAAAGCCTTTACACTATGATAATATTTAAGAGAAAATGCATGAAGACCCCATTCAACTTGTCCTGGAAAATTATTTACACACCTAAATTTTACGGGAGTCCTAGTACCACCCTATTCTTATTCAAAGTGAAATTAGTACCTCCTTCAAAGGTGAGGTGGCAGAGAAACTAATTTCACCTTACTCAAAGCGCGTGGAAGGTTGAGAAAATGTAAAAAGCTACTTAAATTTTACGGATGTTAATTTTTCCATTGGTTGTTACATTTAGTTACACTTAATTAGTTGTATTTGGTGTAATACTAACCCTTTTTATTTTTATTTTTCTGTTTTCTTTTCTTCTCCTTCCTCTTTCCTTTTCTTCTTTCTCTTTCCTCCATTGTCACAAGAGAACAGCACCATACAATCATAATCGTAATAGAACAAAAATTAAAGATTGATAGCTCTTTCTACACCTATTTTATCATCTCCTCCACCCTCCAATTGTTCTTTACAGCTTGGCCGGAGCAAACAACCAAGGTGAAAACGAAAACCCAACACTTTATTAGATCTTTCTTAGCTTCCTCATGCTTTGAGGTTGTGCTCTATACATTAACTTTACTTTATATATTTATCTTTTGACCAAGATGGAAGAAGAAAATTGACGAGAAAAACCCAAAAAAAGGGAGACCATTTTCTTGTCAATATAGTCAGCTGGTTTCTCTTGCAAAGGTTCCATCAAAAAAAACTTTTTCTGAAAAAATCACTTCTTTAGTTGTAATTTGATTGTCCATGGAGATCCGACAAATGTGAATGAAATTTCTTAGGCAAGCTGGAAAAGTTAATAAAAATGTTTGAAATATTTTTAAGGAGAGAAAGAAAGTTTCGGTTGGGGAGGGGGACGATTATTCCAGTCAAAGAAAGAAAAAAAATGAAAAAACCTGCGAAAATGCCATGTGTCAGCGAATGTAAACACTACTTGGGTAGAATTTGGTTGTGGAATTTTAGGGGTTAAATAAATTCATCTTGGATAAGGATAGGGTGGTAATAGGACACCCGTAAAATTTAGGTGTGTAAATAATTTTCCAGGACAAGTTGAATGGGGTCTTTATGCATTTTCTCTATATTTAACTTAAAGGTGTGTTTGGCATGAAGGAAAATATTTTCCTAGAAAATGTTTCATTGAAAAAGAGTCGTTTTATGACTTATTTTTCCTTGTTTCGTTGGTGAGTGGAAAACTTTCTTTGAAAAATATTTTCTAGTGTATAGTTAGAGAGTATACTTTTTTATGCTACTCTCCTCACTCATCCCGTTCCCCCAAGTTCTCATGTTTCTTGTGCTCACCCCCCTCCCAAATATCCAACATTTTTAGAACTCTATTTTCTTCATGAATTTAATTATTCTTCTAAATATTCACACAAATTCAAAGGCACTAATATACTACATTACTTTTTTACGCAAAAATGACGTTGAAATTTGTGCTCCATAACTAAAAAAGAAAATACTCTTTTTTGGTAAAAAAAGAAGTACTCTTTTTATATCATGAAATAAAGTACTTATTAAAGAAAATATTTTTTCTGCATCATGAAAAGGAAATACTCATTTAGTTGAAATGAAAAAAAAATAATTTTTCTACATCATTAAAAGAAATTCATTTTTGATTGAAATGAAAGAAAATACTTTTTTACGTCATGAAAAAAAATTTCTTTTTGTTGAAATGAAAGAAAATACTGTTTACTACATCACTTTGTTGAAACGAAATAAAGTACTTTTTTTACATTATGAAAAGAAAGTAATTTTTTTGTTAAAATTAAAAAAAATAATTTTTTTAATTTATATCATGAAAAGAAAAATACTCATTGGTTGAATGAAAAAAAAAAGTACGTTATCTATAACATAAAAAGAAAGTACCGATAATAATATTTCTATTTAGGTTGAGGGGTTGGGGGCGGGGGTGGGGGGGCGAGGAGTGGGGAGGGGGGTTTGGGGTGGGTGGGGGTGGATGGGTAGTGGGGTGGGGGTGGGTTGGTGGGGATGAGAAATAGGGTGGGAAAGGTTAAAAAAAAGTTTTGAAAAATGTTTTCCCTTCTCTTGATAGGGAGAACATTTCCCTCCAATTGGAGAAAAATAAGTTAATGAGAAAAATATTTTTCAAAACATTTTAGCTAACCAAACATGGAAAATTGAAAAATATTTTCCTTAATAGCAAACACACCCAAAATCCTTCTATTATTAGTCTTAGGGAAGGACTTGCTACTCTAACCGCATCAAAATATCTTTTTCCGTCTAAATTATGGAATTTGTAACTTGTTCTCCTTATTACTTTCACGAATGTGATTTTCATTTTTTGATGTATACTCGGATAAACAAGTCCAGAATTTTTATTGTTAGTTAAGACTGCCGAGAGCAAACTATTATTGGGACAATTATTATTCTAAGCATATAAACACAGTACTAAAATTCTATTAGAAAAGATCATCATGTGCATGTACTCAGCAGTCACAATTCAACGTTACCAAGTTCCTTAGTTAGACTACTTAGAGCAATTTCTTTCTATTTTTATTTTGCTTTAAAAGTTAATTTGTTCATTTAATTTCCTGAACAATGAGACACTGGCCGGGACGTGGACGGAATCAAACGACTCAAGGAAAATGTAAAAGGAGTTCTTCATGCTAGGTTTATTGCATCTCCAATATTACGATATATTTTATTTTCCATCTAGTAACATCGATTAATCGTTTGAGTTAATATATATATATATATATATATATATATATATATATATATATATATATATATATAAATATATATATAT